AGATTTACAAAAAATATGGATATTTGAAATATTGAATGTGATTCAAGAGTTCATAACTTAATTTTTTTTAATAAAAGGAATGATATATTAAGGACACTGTTCAAATCCATCATCACCTATTTTTTTTATTTGACATTCTGATGCGGTTAGCTCGAAATCCAGCCTGTAAGGTTCGTCTTTCATTCTAGTATGTATCAATCAAGTACATTTGTAACGCCTTTTCTATGGAAATGAATTGAAAAGAAGTTTTTTGATAATCATTGTCAGTTGTCATGAATTAAAACAGACATTGATGACAAATTAATTAGATTTAATCCAAATGAACGCTAATGATTTTCCGAACAGAAACCAATTTTTGGTCGCTAAGAATTAAGACACGTACCATCGACAAAACTTCCATGCTTCTCCCACCGCCATAACGTAGCTTTTATTTGCTTTTTCTATAAATATAATCATGGTAAATGTTCTGATAGACTATACTCATTTGTACAACGAATTTAAGCGAAGTACAGGGAAATAAGGCAAGGATGTGCCTTCTCACTCGACCTGTTCAACCGATACAGAGAAATAATTCTCCATGTTTACAACCTCACTAAGACCTCACCGTTGCTCACACACTCGGTCCATGATATCCTTAGCATCCTTCTGTAGAACCACATCTCCGTCGTCTCGAGTCTCTTCTTCATCTTTGAGGAAATCGTCCAACATTCGCTGCCGTAAAGAAGGTGTTGTGCCATAGTACCTATTCTATTGTGATGGACTCTCCCATAGATAATAAGTAGGAGTAGCAGTGGCAAGTCTGGCAGAATGGTGTTGAGCGCGTCAGTCGAGATTCGGACATTTGAAGTACCAACCATCACAACTAGATTTGCTGCGCCATTGACTCTTATTTGCCAAGTTCCTAACGTTTTGTACGTCGGACCTAATTTAGGACGATTTATTAGAAATACAAGCCTCCACTGTGAAAATACTTCACAACAAAAGAACAGATGTCACGTAACAGCTCAGTATTCTTTTCTTTGTTAACAAAGAAAACCTCCTGTATGGAATTAACCATGTTATAAAATCACACCTGAAAAAAATCCCAACTCCTGGAATTTTATTTTGGGTCAATTGATTGAAATTCCGAAATTTTATGACCACCACATTCTCCTGAATTTGACGCCTTCCGACTATTTTCTTTGATGGCACCTTAAAGAGCAACTATACATAAATAGATCGTAGATTTATTAGCAACTCACAAGGATAACCTCTCGGCAGAAGTTCAGTGTATTCAAACACAATTATTGACCATTCTCTTGGAAGACGCTATCGAAAGAGCTCGTCTGTCTGTAGTCGAAATAGAGAATATTCATATTTTGTATAATCTGTCATAATTAAATGGGAATATATGTCTAGTGATTGAATTCATACCTCATACAAAAGCCCTAGAAAAGTTAGGCGCAGGGAACGATTTTTGTTGAGCTCAGATTCAGGGTTGCCAGATTATGTGAGGTTAAAAATATATTTTAATATATTATAATATCCATTATCGTTGCTTTCATGGTTCAAGGGGAGATACTCTTATTTGACTTTTGTATCCAAAATTGCTGCTAGCTTTAAATTCTAAGTTAGCTAAAATTTTAAGCTAGATTAAAAGCCACCCTATCGGGCGGCATTCAAGTTAGCTCTTGTGGAAGAATCTTCGTTTGGCCATTATCACAATAGCTAGGGAGAAGTAGATGCGATAGGCATCAATAAACTACAGAAGAACTCAAAATTGATCGCTGCATTTAAGTATTGAATTAATGTTTAAGCTTACCTTTTAAAAGTTCAACGATAATTCTTCTGCTGCCACTTAATTTAAAGACAATTTGATGCACGTAGATTCTTATTTTTCGTACAATTATTTTTATTTCATGGGTGACAGAAGAGGAGACAATTTATAAGATAAAATTAATATAGTGTAAGGATGGGAAAATAGAAATTAGAATTAGTTATACATTCAAGATTTGAAGAGTTCGAGAAACAGAAAAGCTAATTAAGTAAAACCTATGTAATGGAATCTACATGAATAAATGCGAAATTGAAGCTCAATTCTCCCAGCTCTACTTTAGAGTAATTTACACACGGTATTTACTCTGTTTCCCCACTGAGACGAGATGTGACACAAGGTCTCCTTTAAGGTGGGGGACCGAGCGGGAACACCCGGACAAGGAACTAAAATTGCCCACAGCCCCCACAACCGTCGGTTGCGCTGGCCTGGATGCGAGCACCGATCCTTCTCTCTCTAGTGCCATGAGTTGCAACTCTGTCCTTTGACAGACTAGCCACTGAGCGCACTCTGCTTAAAGACAGAGACGCAATTGAGAGATGATAAGTAATGTTTTAGAAGCGACCTAAAGAAGTAATTTACACGGTATTTACTTGATCCCTATTGAGTCAGGTTTTGACACAAGGTCGGTTTTTAACGTGGGGACCTGAGTGTCTTCACTCGGACCGCTGGTCTTAGTTGGTCATAGCTTGTCCAAGCTGGTCAGATCTGGTCTATGCTAGTCTTAGCTGGTGAGAAACGGTCCAAGCTAATAGCTATGATATTACCAGCACAGAGACGGATGCCTGTGACCGGTAAGTATCCGAACGTGTATACCCCTCAAGAGAGGTATTTACACAGTATTAACTCCTTCCCCTGCCCCACTTGGACGATATGTGACACAAGATCTTTTTTAGATGGGGATCAGAGCGCATACGCCCGGGACAAGGAAAAAATTGCCCTCAACCGTTGGTCGCGCTGACTTCGATGCGAGCACCAATCCTTCCCTCTGGTGCAATGGGCGGGCGTGTTATTTGACAGAGTCGCCCCTGAGCGCACTCTGTCCAAAGACAGAGACGCAACTGAGAGATGATAAATATGCGAAACCCCTCCAAGTAGGGATTTACGCACTAAAGGCTCAATATCTGTATTACATATTATCTACTTCTAGGCAATATCACTCTTCAGGTTTAACTAATTTGCATACTGATTTTTTAAAAGTTTATTTCATTAATTTATTTATACTTCTTTCCAGGATTGTTTTTATTTCCATATCAAAAATAGTTCTGTTTGGAAATATAATCTTATATAGTACATAAAAGTGTTTGCATTTTAATTGACTATCAGCAAGTCGGCATCTATTTGTAAAACTTTCCTTAACTATCACAAATGGAGCTATGAATGAAAGTAGTGAATATATCTTATTTTGCGAAGCGATAGCGAACGAGCGAAACCTGTTAGTTCTTTATAGACTAGAGTAGAGGATAGAAATCATTTCAAGAGAATCTATATCTAGAATTTTTATTCCGTATAAAACTATTTAATAATCAATACAGATATTGAAATCAGTAGATTTTGAATTACTTCCATGATTTTTTGGACACCCTGTATTTAAGCAAAGTGATGAGGATGTCTTCTTAACATTACACCATCGATTTTTTTATTTATGTTTTTTTTTAGCTTTGCAAACGTTTATTGTGAAAGATAAAACTAAAACCCCGTTGATCTTTCTTCGTTTTTATTGAGTTTTTTTTCGAAGCCGAATTTCCGAGCATAATCTTTAAATGACGTACATATTTACCCACCCCATTCCTAAGAAAAGGAATTGGATCCAAGCCTTTACCAAGGTCATTACTGCTAAGTGAACACAAACTGTTGCAGGATGTTTTCGAACTCTGTTCGATATATACAATACATCTTACAAAATCGCTCGACCAGCTATAGCTTTTTTTTTTAATGCGTTTAAGAATTGCATATGTAGAAACCTTTGTTAGGCGTTAGTAAAGAAATACAGTCTTACGCTTAAAAAGCTGTAGAACTCCTTAGAAAATATCCTTCATTTCACAACAGAAAAATTTTCAATGAAAATATTTTCTCAATGTATTTTTTTTTAAGAGCTATGGGCAATTGAAAGAAATTTCTACTCAATAAGTTTCATTTTAGTTTTTGACGATGAGTCTAATGGTAAAGTGTAGGATTTTGTCAAGAGAAGTAAGAGGGAGAATTCTTCCCCCCTTTTCTTCCTGTTACCTCTCTTTCATATCAGTTTTTTTTCTCTCTGCCCAACTCTCTCCAATTTCTGTGTTGTTTCCACTTATTCATTCTGTTCTCCTAGTATTTCTTTCTTTTTCTTATTTATATTAATATGCTAAAATATTGTTTTTATTGCATTCATGTATTTCACTTTAACAGAAGTTTATTTAGTAAATTTAGCTTTGACTGGCACAACGCAAAAAAATGTGAAAACCTATTTGAGTATTAATGGTTTTCAAGATGAAATATTGCTCAGTGTTGAGATATGGCAAATTTTCTTCTTTTAGTCTTTTCATTTTCTTCTTCTTCTTCTTCCGATTATTTATTTTTTATTTAACCAAAATACGTTCTTTCTTTCTTTCTTTCTTTCTTTATTTATTTATTTATTTCTTCTTCTTCTTCTTCTTCTTCTTCTTCTTCTTCTTCTTCTTCCGATAACTTATTATTTAACCAAAATTCTTTCTGAGTTTCTTTCTTTCTTCCCTCTTCTTCTGCTTCTTCTTCTTCTTCTTCTTTGTTTTCCTCTTTCGATCATTTATTTTTTTTATTTGACCAAAACTCATTCTTTTGTTATTACTCCTCCTCCTCTTCTTCTTCTTCTCAATAAACAAAAGGTAATGCAATATTCAATCGAAAACAAAGAACTATTCTTAGAATCCAAAATAGCTTTCGGAATGAAATTACACACAAAGGGTTGATAAACCATAAAAATACAATCAACGTTTTTCTCACTGTTCCCCTCCTTTTCCCATTCTTTTATGCTCCCATCATTTTGTTGTAGTTCTTTTTTAATTCCCTTTTTTATATGTCTAATTTTTTTTTTATCTATCTCTCCTCCTCCTTTAATTGGCGTGCGCCTACCGAAGTTAAGCTACGTCGAGCCTGGTCAGTACCAAGATGGGTGACCGTTTGGGAATACGAGATGCTGCAGGCTTGGCGGTGTTGTTGCTATGGCTTACGGCCATATCACGTTAAAGCACCGGTTCTCGTACGATCAGCGAAGTTAAGCAACGTCGAGACTAGTCAGTACCTAGATAAGTGACTGTTTGGGACTGCAAGTTGATGTAATCTTGTGTGTGTTGTTGGTATGGCTTGAGGCCATAGCATGGTGAAGCATTGGTTCCCGTACTATCAGTGAAGTTAAGCAACGTCGAGTCTGGTACCTAGATAGGTGACCGTTTGGTGATAACATATGTTGTAGGCTTGGGGTGTTGTTGGTAGGGCTTACGACTATATCACGTTCCAGTACGATAAGGGAAGTTAAGCAATGTCGAACTTGGTCAGTACCTAGTTAAACACTAAGGTAGTACCAATTTGCTTCTAGCTTAGGTGTGTGGGTGGTGTAATGTCTAACGGTTCAGTATTGGAAATAGCAGATCCGAGGTCTAATTAGGGTTCGTTATATTAAGATTACATAAATTTGGGAGGGTCATGACTTCGCTGCTTCCCCCCACTTTCAATTATGTATTTAGTAGAGCTTGAGTCATTAAATCAGTATTATCTCCAACAAAAGTTCTAGCAATCTACAAATATTTTTGTTTAAATAACGTTTAAGATTAAAGCAAAAGATTAAGCAAAAGGTTGATAATCCGTAAAAAAAGAAATAAATCAATCCTTTTTTTTAATCTTTCTTTTCACAACCAGCCTTTTTTTTTATATACCTTTCGCTTTCAGGATTTTCTCTTTGTTTTCCGTATTGTTGCAAATCAAATTAACTATGCAGCGCTTTCTGCAGTTCTTGTCGAACTCAAGCTCTACGACACACACGCAAACAACCTATCTCGTACGTACACACACACGCACACACACGCACACACACACACACACACACAAGCTCGATCTCTTGTTTCGCTGTAACATCCATAGACAACTGCGTCTCTCAGCTGGGGACGAGATCGGATTTCGGAGTCTCAAAACAGCGACTTCCGGTCGGGAAGTATCCATGGCCGAAGGACTAATACCTCAATGTTGCAAAAGGAAATTGTTGTCGGATGGAGGACAATATCGGCCAGGAATCTGCAGACGTAGGTGCAGGAGAAAAATCAAAATAATATTGGCAAGACTTGGACTTTATTTACGTTATTCGGACTATTGTCCTCATCTTTGTCGCCATATTTATTACAACGTTTCGGCCATTGTACGCTCCAGCCTTTTTCAGGTGGTTCGACATTCCAACCACATGAAGAAGGCCGGGGAGTACAACGGCCGAAACGTTGTAATAAATACGGCGACATAGAAGAGGACAATAGTCCGACTAATGTAAATAGTGTACATAACACCTCATCTCAGAAATATAGACAGATACACACCTGGACTTATCCTCATATACACACACACACACACACACACTCGTGTGTGTGTGTGTGTGTGTGTGTGTGTGTGTGTGTGTGTGCGTGCGTGCGTGTGTGTGTGAAAAAGAAGAAAGAAAGAACTTTGGTTAAATAAGAGGAAAGACAAAAACAAAGAAAGAAAGAATATTTACACACACACATAGAATATTTGACACACACACTCGCATTTATATTTGCGTGTGTGCATGTGCGTGTGTGCCTTCAGTAATGGTTCCAGCTTTCATTCTTTGGCTTCCATCTTCAAAATCCATCTTCTAGAAGAGTTGTAGAAGATTTCAAAGTCGTCTGGACGCCGTGTTTGAAGCTAATGTTCATTTTATTGAATACATTTGATTAAAGTACATTTTGCCAATCGGGAAGATATGTGTTCAAAAGCACTATTTGATCTTTGTTCGATTAGTAGGTCCTGCGTGGCCGAGTTAGTCTAAGGCACAGACGGTTTTCTCTAGGAGGCGCAGGTTCGAATCCTTTCCGGAGGACGCATATCTTTCGAAGAAGATTTCTCGAATATTTAGGCCGGTAGATGTAAATAAATAAATATAGTGTTTAATAAAAAAATAAAAGCAGAACATCTACTCAAATATAAGTATCACTTACAAAATAACGTTTAAACAATTAAAATCTTACTTATTATAAAACGCAGGTGGTGTGTGTGTGTGTGTGTGTGTGTCTGTAACGTTTATATGTTGGATCGAATTTCCTACATTTTTTAGCCGATTTCAACAAAACTTCACAGGACTACATAAAATTACCTTGTGGTGGTTCTAACGGGGCCGAAAATGGAAAAAATACAGTTGTTTTTTAATAAAATCAATTTGAAAGCACGATTAAGACACATCGTGAGAATGAAAGGGGGACAACTCACCCACGAAAATGTAAGCAAAAGAGCATAGCATGATGAAAAAGACGCCGAACTTGACGAAAACAAAATTTTATCGTCTAATGTTCATATTATTATTAAAGAGGAAAGATCAAAGTATTTTGGGGGTATTTTTTTTACATTTTTTAATCGTTCCTAGCACGTTTGAAATTTTCGTTAAAAATATTGTTGTTTTTTTTGGTCAAAAAAAAGGGCAGATAATCAATCATTTTCAATCATTTTTTTCGATTTGTTAAAAAAGATTAAAATCTTACTTTGATATTCTTTTAAAAATCAATTATCATTTTTTCAAAACTGATTTTAATAAAAACAGAAATTATACTGTTTATTTAAAATATTTTGAACCAAGCTTAACTTAGCTTCTGCGCCGAAAAAATGTAATTTGAAAATAAAACAAAGCAGGTCACCTTTCGCGTCGCTTGACGATTGACGAAAGGCACATTCATGACGTTTAGATAACTTACGGGAGGAGAATTTTTCTACGGATGGAAGGAAGTGAAATTATTTAAGTGAACAAATTATTTACCTTGTTACTTTTAAGGAAAAACATTCAGCGCTCTAATTTTTTATTTTTTATTTTATTTTTTTTTTGTACTTAGCTTTCATTTTACGTTTACGATGCTTTATGGAAAATATAAAGAAATTAAAAAAATAAGACTGTTAATAGTGAGATTAAATTTCATAAGAAAAAGGTATCTAATTAATTTAGGTACCTTTCTTATGAAATTTTATCAGAAGTGTACATAAAATACTATAATTTTATGTACATTTATTACATTTTACTGTATTATTTGTATTTCCATTCATTTTATTATTAATTTTGATATTTCATTTATAGAAAAATGTCATAACTGAGATTAATATAAAAATAAGATCATATAAATTAAAGTTTAGCAGTAGTTAAATTTCATAAGATGATACTGTTACTTGTAGGTACCCTTCTCAGTTGAAATTGAAAACTCAAATTAACTTCTCCATACGTGTTTCGCAAAAGTAAAGGGCATAACAGCGGAGAACAATGCTGAACTCAAATAATGCAAATAAATTGTATTCTGGTTGGTCTTCCGTACTTGATAATTACTGTCCGACTATAAACACAAAAAATTACATTTCTTAATTACCATGGCTAATCTGATTGGTCCAAATTATACAATTTTCAAAGCGCTAGACAATGACAATCTCACACGGACATTTTGAAAGGTTGATGTTGCTTTTAACTAATGTTAAAAATTTTTTAAATTCAATTTAAACATTTTTAAAAATCTTTTTAAAATTAAAGAAATAAGAAATAATTGTATTAAAAATTCAATTTTCATTGAAAAAATTTTTTGCTTTCAGAAAATATTGTCCATATTCATAAAAACAAATTAAAACAAATAAAAGCATTTGAAACTAAATAATATATTTGTTTTATTGAGTTTTGTATGTTAGAATTCACAGCTGATTTTCAGGTACGTTGGCAAAAAAAAAAAAAAAAAACAAAAAAAAAAACATGATTTGCATTCTTCAAAGCCTTGTGCTTTTAACTATTGTAATCACTAAAACCGATGGTCTCGAATTTTAGAGTTTTTCATAAAATTAGTTATGGGTGTGTTAATAAATATAAAAAAAATATTTCTGCCATGACTTTAAAAAAAAATTGTCTATGTTATTTACTACCCCTTGTTGCGACAAAGAGAAACAAGGTTTTTTAAATCAAAATTTAGAATATTCTAAAAAGATGGAAAAATTTTTAAAAATAATTAAAAAAATTTAGTCTATCCTCTTCATAAAAACATAAGCATTTTGATGATAAAATTTTGTTTTCATAAACTTTGGCGTCTTTTTCATCAGACTATTCTCTATGTTTTTAGCGATTCCGTGGAGTGACTTAGGTTAAAAACCCAGGTTGTTTTGTGTGTGTGTGTGTGTGTGTGTGTGTTCCTTTATATATGGGATCGGATTTCTTACATTTTTCAGCCGATAAAACAAACATCCATTTTTTTTTTTTTTCGGCAGGTAGTATTTCTTATTGTCTTGCAATTTTTTTTCTTTATTTACATTCAGAATGCTTTAAAAATTTCATTTACAAGACAATTGTTTATAATAAATTTCTATTCACCAATCGATAGACTCATAACGATTGTAATCAATGTTTTTGTTTGAATTTGGGTTTGACCAATTCGTAAAAAAAAAAAAAAAAAACTAATTAAGACATGCGTGTCCGTCAACCTTAAACAATAATCTTTGTCAATTTTATTTTTCAGTCTTTATGATGGTCGATACTTGATCTATGTCTTACTGTTACATCCCCGGGCAACGCCGGGCTCTACTGCTAGTAACTTATATATTTTAAGACATTTTTATGTTTATACATTCTTTTTATAGATACAAATATTTAACTAAATGTATCTATAAAAAAGAATGTATAAACATAAAAATGTCTTAAAATAATTGTCGGACTTTGTCCATTTCATTATATATATATATATATATATTTATTTATTATTAAAAATTAAAATCTTTAGACACACTGGGTTGTAGATTAATAATCTTTCGTTTTTTATTATTATTATTTCATTTATATTCTTCGACTAGTTTCGACCAAAATGGCCATCATCAGGAGAAGAAATATTTCTGCTTGCTGGTAGCAGTAAACTACAGAAATGAATCTTTTGCTGGAGAAAATGAACTTTTGTCTGTAGTTTTCATTTGTTTTTTTTATCTTTTAGCATGAATATATATATATATATATATATATATATATATATATATATATATATATATATATATTTGTCGGTACAAAATTTAATCACAGAAATAAAAGTGTGAAGCTTGATATTACGAGACACATTAAAA